TTCGGCACCTGCGAAAGCTCTTGATCTGGACAAAACGCGCCTTTGGCTCGAGTACTGGCCTCGACGCCGTCTGGCGCCAACATGAAAATGTCTCCCAGCGCACGGCCCCGTACCGGCGCCGGAACCATGTTTATGTCTAGGCCCGTCCTGAGCTGGCCGCACTCTGCCCCTAATTCCGAAGCGTGTTCAGGCCACTCCGTGATGACTTGTTTGTGGCCAGTCGGAAGTCGAGACGGCATCTTACGGACAGCGTTGGCCGCGAAAAAATAGTTTTGCCAGCCTCTTCCCATGTCAACAGGAAGCGGCGCGTTGCGTATAAGCACGCAGTGCGGAGAAGCATGGGAAATATATGTCTTCGTGAAATTTCGAATTGTGTTCGACTGGAAGCGGCACATTTGCCACACCGCCATCCTTATTGGATGGAACCTGGATGAGTTTGCGGACGCGGACATGGGGGCAAACGGCAAAAGAAAGACAATGTTGCAAGCGGTATTGATTTTTGAATTTGAACGGCCAGTTCATGACTCTTTTCATGAGATTTGTTTTCCCTAAATTCAAAAAAATCATTTCATACCCATTGATACCACAACATTTTCCACAACACTTGGACAATACGTGCTAACAGCACTTGTGAATGCAATTGTTTGTTGGCGTGTTGGCAGGAGGTGATGAGGCACATGCGCATGATGCGCCGAGGCGCTCGCCTGTGCACAGTCATCGCTGCACCGGGGATCATCACGAGTTTCTCTGGCACATGCTGGCGAGAGGTATGCTTTCCAATGATTTGGAGCTGGCAATGCACAGCCTGGAGTTTCGTCAAACCGGTGCCATGTGCAATGTGGAGGAGGTCGGACAGATCCTTGCGAGTGGAAGCCCATGCCAATCAATTTATTGATTACAGTTTGTTGTAGCCTGTTCAGGCTGATGCGTATTGGCAAACCCATCCATTTGTCCATGCGGTATCATCCACGGAAACGCAGGTCCAGGCGCGGACAACATGTATAATTGCTGCTATTTCACAAGTTCGGCGAGCATGCATGTGCAACTTTTGGTTGCCAAGGTCATGCAAGCCGTGAAGGAGCTGAAAGGGTTGTTCTTGCTCGTGGATGTTCCACTTGTTCTGGTGCGGGGCTTACTCTTGTTGAGCGCACGTGTTCTGGCAAGTGCGCGGCCATGAAAGGTACGTGATGTACTCCTTGGTTGGAGGTGGACCTGTGAATGGACGCAGAAACTTTACTTGTAGGGTTGGGGACATATGCTTGGGTCTACAGGGTACATGGTTTCTCTCCCGCGGGTCAGCTGATATATCTGGAGCGATGCACAGACGATTAGCATGTCACCGTTGCAAAGATGCCACACGCAAATCTTGAAAATCGGCCAAGGAAAAGTTAAACCATGAGCCTTCAAGTCTCTAAAGTCGAGCCCTCAAACCCGAACCATTGACCCCAAGAGGCCGAAGCCGTGATACTCATACCGTAAATGGCAGACATGAAACCCCAAGACCGAGGACCCTGATATACCAGGCAGTGGGACTTTGTGGGAACCGGAAAGAACCTAGTCGAAACAGTGCAAGCCCCAGGACACCGTCTTCAAAACCCTGTATAACTCTATCATAAAGCCGTCACGCAGTCTTCTGTGGAACTTCTATAATCACTTGAGAGTAGAATTTGCATAAAATATGAAAGCAGTAGCCAACCAAGTCGCAAACCCCATTCTTTACAAAGCCCTAAGCCGGAAATCCTAAACCTTGGATACTGCCCCCACTCAGTAACAGTTGAGTAATATTCATAGTATGGATATATAGGGCCCTTAATGGTAGCCCTATTATACACTGTTGCTGTATGGGGGCAGTACCCAAACCCTAAGCCTTTATAGACATATCCTTACAAAGCACCTCGGAGGCGCAGTTGCTTTGCGGTGCCAGGGAAGTCCGGAGCGACCGTGGCTGGGTACTTGTTCAGGAACCCAGCTGGGTTTACTTGTAAAAATACGGACACCCGAGTAGTTACTATGGATCCTTATTATATTAAAACACAACTGAATTTAACATGATAAGGACACCTTGTTTTTCACGACGAATCGCGATGTTGGTGACTTGAGTTTAGTTCCTTCGCAGAACCCAGGTGGCGACTTTCGGTCCCTGGTTGCAAGACCTTGGCCTCTCCACGGTCAAGAAGGCGGGCAGCACAAAGAAGGATAGTTTAACATATGGGGAAGGAAGACATGAAAATCAACTTTGGCAATAATGTTGTGAGGTATTGGCGGCAACAATTACAATAGGAGTGACATTTGGAATGTCAATGCTAGTACTTACTCGGACAATTATTGTTCTTCCTCGCCCAGCAGCAGCATGCCCCTGTATAGTGGGCTCAGGCTCTATGCATCCCGGTTCCGGGTTGTCGGTTTGGGACTTGGAGGGTTGCAGCCAAAGTGGCCTTCAATGGAGCGGATTCTGCACAGTTCAGTTCACTTCATACACTCAGTACGACACCCACCTTCGCCCCTTGTGCTGAGAAGACCATAATCTTAGTGACGGAAACAGTGGTCTTTAAATTTGAAGGTGGCCTTCAACAGATCAAAATCGACGTTGTTGGAAACAGTCCTTTCTGTGTCCAACAGTAAAGAAATATGTAGATATGTAGACATGTATACATGTATGTATGTATATACACACATGCAGTATCTCTCTCCATCTCTCCTTCACTTCCTGTTGTTACAGGCGCTTTTTACAGAGACTTTCAAGGCTGTAAGCGGCTGTACCAGGATAGGGCTTAGAGAAACAGCCATAGATTGAATCCTGAAGCATTCAGTCCCAAACCCTGGAGCACTCACTTTTCCAGCCTGGCTCCTAAACCCCTATCCCATGCGCGTATGTACACATATCATAAAGGCGGATAGGGGCCTTAGTCTAACGCCCCACGTTCAGGGCTCACATAGGAGACGTTTTAAAGCTTTAGTCCCTAAGCTCTACATCCGGTAGATGTGGAACGATACAGAGAAGATTGGCTTGGCCCCTGTGCAAGGATGACACGCACAAATCCAGATGTGTATCAAGTCCAAACCCTAAACTTACCCCTAAACCCGTCAAACCCTGGAACCAGGTCTTGCGAGCGAAGGGCCATCAGTTGGATGAGGATTGCCCGCATGGCCCCACCGAGCCGAACTGCAAGCTCCTCCTTTTGGCTTCTTAGGAAATGTGTTTTTTTTACTATAATGAAACCTTTAGGGGGTGTTTAAGGCGCTTCTTTTTATGTTATGGCTCTAAGAGCACTTAAGCCTGACTTTGGGGGGTTTTGTACACCTTGTCAAAGTTCAGACAGGGCTTCGGGCTTGGGGGGGCTGTTGTAAGGATCTTATACGGAGGGTCTCGGGAGGCAACCTTGAACCCTAAACCCTAGACCCTTAAACTGTGTTAGAGCGCTTTTGGTTGAGGCTCCGGGCGCGGCTGCACATTGACAAGCGCTGGGTGCCGGTGGATCTGCTGCTGTTTCGATTTCTGACGCTCAAGGCCGCCTTAGAGATACATTAGGGTTTTTGATTTTGTGTAGGGCGTGCGTCTAGGATCTGGTTTGTAGATTGAGATTATGGGTTTTAGGTTTAGGGTTTAGGTGTTGGGTTGAGGGTTTTTAGGTTTTAGGTTCAAGGGTTCGTTCCTCTTGTATTGTATTCTAGGGGCTGCCCACGGAGCGCAGGTAGAAGCCTGGAGTAAGGCCACGCACCCCCCCTCGGCCGAACCCCGCTGATGCTGATGATGCGCGCCCTTCGTGGCTTCCGCAACCCACTCAAATATGGGCAAAACATTGCTTCGTGTTGCACGGGCGCCCCCGAGTTCTCATGATGAGCTTGCAAACTCACAGGACGCATGTGGTCGGGGACCGAGCGCTGCCCGCTCGCGCGTGTTGCTAAAGCAAAGCTAGCAAGGCTACACCCAGGCTAAGCCTGGAACTCACAGGACGCATGCGCTCGGGGACCGCGTGCAGCCCGATTTAATGGCTGCCGCCACTGCCGCCGACCCCTGCAGAGCAGCAGCGCCTCGGAAGAACGACGGAAATTCGCAACTTTGCGATGTACCGAGGCGCAGCCTTGCAAAACCTAAACCATAAATCCCTGAACCCGCATCAATTTCGAATAAACGCCCTAACCACCAAACCCTAAAGGAGTACGATCCTGGCCGGGTCCTGAGTTAGGACGGTTTTGGGGCATGGGGTGTGGGGTTGAGGCTTCAGGGTTCCATTGTTAGCAAATCCAGGCCTTCATTGGGCTGAGGTGGGTTCGGCAATGGACTCAAAATACTCAAATACGTCACATACTTGACAGGGGTGGGCGCTGGGGGCAAAGATTGGTTGGGCACGCATTGGGCTTGCACTAAATAAAGTACCAGACAATTGCCGGGAAGGGTTGGGCTGGGCATGTTGGGTTTGCATTAGATCACTTCACAAGGGCCAGGAAGGGCCGGGGGGTGGGTCCGGAGAGCTTGGGCATGGGGCTTGGAGGGTTGGGCTTGGGCTTGCAGTAGTTTTCTTCACAAAACGCCGGAAAGGCTGGGGGGTGAGCACTGCGAGGTCCGGAGAGGTTGGGAATGCATTGGGCTGGGATGGGTTCTTACTTCACAAAAACCAGGAACGGCTGGGGGTGGACGCTGGGGGTCCGGAGGCCTTGCCTTAGATTATTTAATTATTTCAGACAAGGGCCAGGAAAGGCTGCCGGGTGAACTGGGGGTTGGGACTGCATTGGGCTGGGGTGGGTTCGGAAATTGCAGGCGTTGGGGGCGCTGAAGGGTCCGGGGCATGCATTTTGCATTAGATTGCTTAAATGACTCAAGCACTTCACATTGACCGGTGGGCGCTGAGGGGTCTGGGGTGGCAAAGAGGGGTTGGGCGTGCATTGGCTTGCATTAGATTGCTCAAATGGCTCAAGTACTTCGCATACTTGACAAGGGCCGGGAACCGCTGGGCGATGGGCGCTGAGGGCACGCATTGGGCTTGCTGTAGATTGCTTAAATGACTCAAACGCTTCACATTCTTGACTAGGGCCGGGAACGGCTGGGCGGTGGGCGCTGAAGGGTCTGGCAGGGCAAGGAGGGGTTGGGCATGCATTGGATTGCTGCAATGACTCACTTCACATACTTGACAAGGGCCGGGAAGGGCTGGGCGGTGGGCGCTGAGGGGTCTGGGGGGGCAAAGAGGGTCTGGGGCATGCACTGGGCTTGCATTAGGCGGTGGGCGCTGAGGGGTCTGGGGTGGCAAAGAGGGGTTGAGCATGCATTGGGCTTGCATTAGATAGGACTAAAATACTTCATACTTGGTGCCCCATCTCCACCTCCTGGTGGTAGTTGCGCTCCACCACTTCCTGGTAGTGGTGGCATTCCACCTCCTGGTAGTGATGGCATTCCACCTCCTGGTAGTGGTGGCATTCCACCTCTTGGCAGTGGTGGCATTCCACCTCTTGGGTTTAGGTTTAGGTTTAGGTTTAAGTTTAGGTTTTTAAGTTTAGGTTTAGGTTGAGGTTTAGGTTTAGGTTTAGAACGTCAGAAATCTTTTCATCAAGTCTATCAAATCTATATTTGAAAGTGAACCTGATAATTCTATCAGAGGTGTTCTGATCACAGGAGGATTGTTGTGGAATTTTGATGGAGATGCGAGCCGGGAACGGCTGGGCGACGGGCGCTGAGGGGTCTGGGGGGGCAAAGAGGGGTTGGGCATGCATTGGGCTTGCGTTAGATTGCTTAAATGACTCAAATACTTCACATACTTGGCAAGGGCCGGGAAGGGCTGGGCGGTGGGCGCTGAGGGGTGAGGGGTTGGGCAAACAGGGGTGGGGCATGCGTTTGGCTTGCAGTCGATTACTCAAATGGTTCAAATACTTCACATACTTGACAAACGCCGAGAAGGGCTGGGCAGTGGGCGCTGGGGGCATTGGAGTGGAACTAAATGATTCAACTACTACCAGAAATACCATGAAAACAAGCCACGGAGGGCCGGGGCGAGCAGGGTGGCCAGCGGTGTGTTTTTTGTATCTTCTGTGCATTGGAGTGGAATTAAATGACTCAACTACCACCAAAATATTGCGGGTTTTGGGGGGATTGGGCATGCATTGGAGTGGAGTTAAATGACTCAACCACCACCGAAAACACATGAGAACAGGCCAAGAAAGCCGGTAAACTGGTGCAGCGAACTCCCGCGTGAAGTGAACGAGGCCGAAAACCGAGCCGGTAACACAACTTCTGAGCGCCGCCCCCGCAGGGGTCGGCGGATTATGGGTGTTCTTTTGCGTACAGAACAAGGCGAAACATTCAGTTTTCATTACGAAGGCGAAAGGCAGGAATTTAGCATAAATATTTAATGAATCTCACACAGACCCTTTCACAAAAAACATTTCTAAACTCTTATGACTCTTACAGATGACCTTTACTCTAAGGCCTAACTGAGCCTTGACCTTTTTTTTTAATGCACACACATATAGATGATCTCTTTACCAAATACCCCCTAAACCCTAAACCCTAAACCCCTAAACCCCTAACCCCTAAACCCTAAACCCTAAACCCCTTTTTCAGCTCG